AATATATATATATATATATATATATATATATATATATAATAATTAAGAACTAAATAAGCCAATAAGCCGTATTACACCATTTATCAACGAAGATGATCACAACAATTGATATTATAATTATGCAACATCCTGTACTCATCCCTATTCCTTAGGGGAGTGATATCTCGTTATTTCGTCTTCTTCCTGCTGCTCTGGTGCTTTGAGAACACGTAGTCGGTATCCATTTTCTAGACCCTTCGACGAACCGTATCTAGGGGTGGTCTGGATCACAATAGACAATATATACGGTACATAGAGTATGTTCGAGCTCTACGCGAGGATGCAAGCCGGATAGTCGAAGCTTTTGATGTTATTGACTCGTTTAAAATTGAACTTAAAACGGTCACGATGCAATCACGCACCTCTCGCCGCGCGTTCTTGATCCTAGACACTGGAATCCTGATGCACGCGCAGCGGGAATTTGATGAAAGTTTCAAGGTAGCCCATGGGACTTCCAAATAGGGATGGTAGCCTGTTCCCGGAAGCTCGCGAGGCATGCTTGGCACGATCCTTGTCTGACAGGTCTCGATCGCGAAATATCATATTAATGACTTTGTCGCGAAGGATACTCGTCTTGAATATCAATAATCACGTAACGTAAAGGGAGAATCGAGTTATATTCGAGAGCTAATTCAACGAGATGTACCTCACACATTTATTGAGCAATTATATACGTTGTATTTTTATTTTTATTTTTATCAAACCGAATCTCTAGTAATCTTAGACGCTAAAGTAAGTCTGTCACTTCGAATATATTTTATAGATAAAATTTTTTTATCGCGACGAGAAGAAACCTAAATTAAAAACTAAACTAATTATCAAATGTCGTGAAACCAGAAATTTATAATATTAATCAGAGAAATTATCATAAGTAACTGTAGAAGTGTTCATATTTTTATATTTATTGCATACTCGTGTTAATTTTAATTATCAGTGGTATCAAATATTTCATGATATTTATTTACCGCATATACAATGAATATGGTTTTACGAACACCGTATTTCGGTCGCCCCGATTTCGATGTCATTATCAATAAACACTCTAATTTTTCTCGTGGCTGGCGTTACTTCTTCCAAACATTAGAGGTAACAATCAACGAATGCGTATTGATTTACCGTCATCTGTACATCATGTTACGTCGTAGGGACGCTGGCGTACCAGGACCGCATATGGCACTCTGGATGGTCGTATCTCCCACTGCTAGTTTATGTGTCACCTCTTGACCTCTGCCACGTTGACTTCCTCATTCTTTGACAATTATTACCCGCGTTTATAATTACTTCGAAGCGATCCATGATATACGATAACTTCGATAAATAATTTCCTCTTTTTCACGAATTTTATTTTCAAATTTTTATCCATCCAAACGATCATAATTTGGATATCGCGATTCACCCTTTGTATTGAGGAAATATCATTATAGTGTTTCTGTGATTGCACATATCGGATAATGCAATCTATTGATTATGCACAATCGAGTTATATGCGTAACTGGATGGCAAAGTGCCATTTAAATTCGATTTGTTCAGGATTGTTATTCGCTAGGATAACTCGTTCTTGCGCGGATCTCCAATGTAGTAGTGTCCTCTTTGTTCGGGATAATCTCAGAGCGATTTACATCGATGTGGACGTTGCTTAGCATCACGCTAATACGCGCGACGCTTCCGAAACAGAAGAAACGTCAGTCATCCGTCCGTCACGGTGGCGTAAGTCGTTCGAGTGCACCAGGGCATCAGCAGACGTTTGAGGGATTTATAGGGTGTCCCGCCAACACCCGTCGCCGACGGGTCGATTCGCTAAATTACGGTCC